CATATATTCCTCTGCCTGATGGTATTTGAGATTACATCTTCTCATTTCCTACTATAGAGTATATTGGAGTTGCTTGCTCTTAATCTCTCATCCTGATGGGGTTCCACTTGTTGCTGAAATAGTCACTGGAACACGGATTGGAATCCAGGTACCACATCCCAGGTGATCTACCTAATCTTTCTGCATGCATCTACATATGCAACTAGCACAGAGCAATAAACTCCAGTGCAGTTCATGCCGGAGTTTGTTCCCAGGTTTAGCATTTACACTTACACCCAGGACTGCAGCAGGTTGAGCTGGGGCAGAGCAGCCCTTGCTGGCAGGGGGTCCAAGGGGTCAGTCTGCCAGCCCAGAGCTGCTCTTACTCAATTCACTGTGCTGCAGAGGGGCTGGCTGGGACACAAGGATGGTACAGTGCAGGGCTAGCCAGCAGGCAGGCCCCACACTATAGCACCCTTGTGCCCCAGCTAGCCCCAATGACAGTCTACCCGTGTGTTTTGGTGCACGTAATTACTCTGCTGTAAGATGATACTTGTCTCGGACAGTACTATCCTACAGCAGAGCTAATTAATTTACTACATCCTAATATGGGCTCACGTGTAGACAGTGATGTTTTACTGGGGAGCTAATTAGCTCCACAGTAAAGTGCACATGTAGATGCACCTTCTCTCTCACACTTTGATTTAGATGAGATTGAGAACAGCCCAGGGTGTCCAATAGACTGGTTGGTACAGCACTTTTCAGGAAAGTGGAATATGTAAGTTCAAATCCTCTTACAAGGAAAATGCAACCAAATTTAGTGCCCCAGATCCTGGTTAATTATCCTAAGCAGTAAATTGAAATAGCATGAATACCATCAAATCTGGAGATAAAAATTGTCCTGCTATAAACTTATGTAGTTTATCATGCATGTACTGGCATTCTTCACTTAGCTAAATTTTACCCATAAAAATATTTGTCTACTAATTTGCTTTTTCCTTAGGTGATGAAATTTTATTATTGTATTTCATGGTAAGGTGATGCTATAATTCAGAGCTGTCCAACTTCTGAGTGGCCCAGGGCCATATATCTCCTAAGCTCCATGCTGAGCCCCTCCCACACTGTTGTGCTACATGGCTCCCCTGACATATACTGCATAGTACAGCATGGGACTCCCTTCCCTCACAACCCCCACATTGGTGCCACATTGGTGCCCTATGAGCTGCCTTAGTTCCAAGGGCCGCTCCATTTTGCCCCACCTGTATGGGCAAAATGGGAACAAAAACCCATACCCATAATAGGGAGAACATTGCCAAGAATGGCAGCCAGAGACCAATAAGTTAACTGCTCAGGGATCACATGCTGTCATAGAGCCATTACATAATTTATACTTCATAGGGACTTCTACAAAAATGAAAGCAACAGAAAGACTAAGTGCACAGTTTCTTTAAATCTGGTAAGTAAGGGTCTTGAAGAAGATTCTAGGTAGAACTGAAAGAGATAAAGCCAGAAAAGTAGCCTTGGGAATAAAAATATTTTCCTTATTCTGTTAAAATCTGTTATGTGGTGGCTGCAAAAGATAACCCTTTTTGAGCTTTTTTGCTGTTGCACGAAACAGATGATTTCAAACTGACTCTTAAATCCATTTCATTTTCCTTCCTACCTCCTGTGAGCTAAAGACAAATTCTTACCTTCTGTTCTAACCACTTAATGCAACAAGGTGTCACTGGCCCATACAATTAAAATTCTCTCTCCCGAATCTAAGTCCTGTGAAGTTACTTAGAAACTGTACTATACAAGGTGATGTCATTTATTCATGTACTCATCAATGCTCAGCTTGGAGAGAGATGGAAAGCCTAAAGATAGAAAAATAACCATTTTTTTTATTATTTAAGATGCATTAGATAGCTTAAAAATGAAAAAAAAATCTTCCTGTTAATTTCTGTCAGCCAGTTTTACAGAGCATTTAGTAGTAAAAAGTCTGCCTCATTCCCTTTAAAATAAACCTTCTTTTATAGAATCAGATAAAAAAATGAGCTGAAAGAGACCCGAGGAGTTCATCTAGTCCAGCTTTCTGCCCAGGGCAGGAACTTCCCCATTTAAACCATCCCAGACAAATGTTTGTCTAACCTGAACTTAATTCCCAGTGACAGAGGTTCCACAACCTCTCTATGTAATTTGTTCCAGTGCTTAACCACCCTCATAGTTAGAAAGCTCTTTGAAATAGTTAGCTTAAATTTCCCTTCTGCGATTTAAGCCCATTACTACTTCTCCTTTGACAAACTTAAAATTGAAAAAAATGAAATGTACATTTAAATAAACTTAATTTGCTGGAAGACAAATTTCTTCATCTATGATTGTTCTCAATCTTTTTAGGCACCTTCTGAAATGCCAGCCAGCTCTTAGCTTTCACACTTTTTTTTGACTACAGAAAAATAATTGAAAAGTTCTTCTGTTGTAAAGAATTCAGAAAGACCATAGCAGGCTGGAATGTTTTTGACACTCAGGATTCCTTTTTGAAATCTCTGGGTTTATCTTATGAATCATATAGTGGGTGGGGGACTGGGACATCTGTCATCAATGGGGTTACACTTCCCCTTGTCATTCATGTTCACAGTCTTTGGTTTCTTTTGTATCCTCTGTTTCACCTGGATCTTCAGGTGGTGGCTATGGCTGAGGATGCCTTTCACTAGCTGTACCTGGTAGAAAGGTTGTAACCCTTTTTTTTGAGACTCTGACCTGGCCACCATCACCTATGCTTTTGTAATTTCAAGGCTAAACTACTGCAATGTGTTCTACATTGGCTGTCCTTGAAAACCATCTGGAAGCTTCTATTAGTACAGAACGTGGTGGCCCACTTTCTAATGGGGGTGGGTCACTAGGAACATATAACTTAAGTGCTCCACAATCTACATTGGCTCTCAGTAGCTTTCTGGGAGTAATTCAAGGAGCTGTTTTTGATCTACAGGGCCCAAAATAATCTGGGCCCTGTGTAGCTAAGGAACCACCTTTTCCCTTATACCCCACTGCAAGGTCTCTGAAAACAACCATCAGTCTGCTTGGGGAAAATATATAGGATGTCATTCTCTGTAGTTGCTCCTTAGCTCTGGAACTCCCTCCCTCTTCAGGCATGCCAGAGCCTGACATTGGACATCTTTTGAAAGCCCTGTCATACCTTCCAATTTTAGCTGCAACTTATCAAGTAATGCTAGAATGGGATGTTGTTTAGGGGATCTCTGTATTATCCTCCTGTTCTGTATGTTATTCTCCTGCTGTACTCAGCATTGGTGAGGCTGCAGCTGGAGTACTGCATCCAGTTCTGGGCACTGCACTTCAAGAGGGATGTAGAGAAGCTGAAAAGAGTCCAAAGGAGGGACACAGGAATGATTAGAGGTCTGGAAAACAGACCATATGAGAAGAGGCTGAAGGACATGGGACTATTCAGCCTGGAAAAGAGAAGACTCAGGGGGGACTTGGTGGCAGCCTTTAAGTATATAAGGAGTGAACATCAGGGGCTGGGAGAACATCTGTTCACCAAGGCACCCCGGGGAAGACTAGGAATAATGTTCATAAACTGAGAAAAGACCACTTCAGATTAGACATAAGGAAAAGCTTCTTTATGGAACAGACTCATCCCAGAGGTGGTGCAGTCACCTTCCTACCTAATGGAAGATCTTCAAAAGATGACTGGACATACAACTTGCTGGGGTCATCTGACCCCAGCAATCTTTCCTGCCTCAGAGCAGGGGGGATGGACCTGATCATCTCTTGAGTTCCCTTTCAGCCTCTAATTTGAATCTATGAATCCTGAGATATTAGTTCCCGTATACATTTTTAAAAAACTACACAAATAAATAGGTGTTTGTGCACCTAACAATGCTAATAAGGTGTGGCATCCCATGGTACCTGTAAAGGTAAAGAGATCATTGCTGCAGTACCCCCATTGAGAATCACTAATGTAGACATCTCTAAGTAACCACTGTAATTGGCGATTGCATTGTCAGTTTCAGAGACTGAATGGATGTAGAAAATAAACAACCTTCTTAAGGAAGAATTTCAAAGTCTGTGTTAAAGTGCAATGACAGTTAGGAAGTTTGTTGTTCATCTTGTACCTCCTTTCTAGGTAAATCTGTTACTTTTTTTCCTAGGATCATCAAGCCAGCACCTTTTATAAGCCTCTTCCTTGTGTGTCATGTATATATTTGCGCGCACCTGTATGTGTGTGTGTGCAGGGGCAGATCCAGGGGGAGTCCAGTGGCACAGATGCACCTCCCTTTAAGTTGATCATGCCACAGGAGCAGCCACTGGGACCTTTTTTTAAAAGTAAGAATTGTCCGTCCCTTCCACTCCATGCTCAGCTAAACCTCCTTTCCTTCTCTCCCTGGGAGTGGGGATAGAGCTCCAGTGATGCTCCTGCCTGCTTCAACCTGATTCCTCTTAGAGCTGAGCTCAAGCCATGGACAGCAGCAGCAGCAGCAGCAGGTGGTCCCTCCTCCCTGGCTGGTTCCCCTGGTGTTTCCTGCCAGCCTGAGAACTGGCATGGGGGAAGAAACCACCTCACTGCCACTTCTGCTGCTGCAGCCCAATTGCAGGAGGACAGGGCACAGCTCAGGATCTCCTCCTCTTCCCCACCACCCCCTCCCCACCACTTCCACTCCCTGGTTCAGCTGGGTACAGCAGCAGCAGAAGTGGCAGTGGCAGGCAAGGTAGGGGAGAATGGGAGGCGAAGTGCAACTGAAGTGAAGAGAGAAGTGAAAGAAGATTCTTACTGCTTGAGAGAACTTGAAACAAGTCCTAGGCTCCTGTTCCTGTAGTGCAGTCTTTCTACGCTCATGTTGTGGGTGGGGGGGAGGTGCTAGGAGCTAGAGTGCAGGGTCACTGCTCCCATGCCTCCTTCTCAAAATCCTAGATCCACCTGTGTATGTATGTGTAATAAAATATGTAGACTACTAAACCCACATAATTCTAGGCTTAAAATATAATAATGTTTCTTTCTAATTTTTGTTGTTCTTTCTTTTTAGGTATGGGAAAATTGTATCCACAAAGGCAATTCTTGACAAAAACACAAATCAGTGCAAAGGTATGTGCAGTCCTCCTTGAGAGTTCAGTGTCTGCTTGGTTGATTGACTGACGGCTTAACTGCAAGGCTCAGGCTCCGACTGTGCAATCAAAGTAATGTACAGTATATTGAAAACATATTTAATAATGCCAGTGCTTTGAGTTGTATTTCCAGTAACATTGCTCATTAATTTTTTTCATTAACAAACAAAATGAAAATCACAAATCAGAACAAGAATCAAATTGCTTCAGCAGAAAAGTAAATTACGTTCTAACCACATAGTGTCATCTGATTTGAATGATATCATCAGTGATGCAAATTGATTTCCTATATAAAAATGAGGAACCCTTGGGAAAACTTTCCCAAGCAAAACCTGGCTTATTTTTTCTATTCTATAAAGTCTCAGATTGCATTATTGGAGGAAGAAAATGTTCATTGTGGCACAAAAGGGTTCATGAAATTGTGACAAAGATATTAAAGATTATTTTTACTTTCACAGTTATAATTTCAATGCTTATATTTCAAAATATGATCTGTTTTTTTAGTGTGTGTTGTGTTTGTATTTACATATTTATCTAGAGAGATAACTACATGGATGCAGAGGCACTTTCTGAAGACTAGAATTATTTGTTATTTGTTGATTGATCAGAAGGTCTGTCATTTCCATTGGTGGGAGTGGAGTGTTGGTGGTAAAATTTGGAGCTTGATTCCCAATAGGATAATACTGTAATTCCACAGCTAATGAACTGCAGAACCTTTATGTGCTACTGGTTAGCTGTATTCTGATCGAGGAGTACCTTCTAGGAAGCAGAAAACATTTTCTTTAAAGCCCCTGTAAAATATGTACTTAAGTATCTTAGGGCAGTAAGCTTCAAGAAACATTAGAGCTATGATGAAATACTAAAGCAGAGTGTGAAGAGGAGAAACAGGGAGAGTCCCTTGGAAAAAAAAATGAGCAGGATCAAATCCTGTCCAATATTTCTTTCCTTCAAATTCATGCAGCTGCAAATGAAATAGCAGTTCAAGATAACAGGTGGGGGTAATGAAATTCTACCCTGCCAAAATGTAACAGTTTTAACAAGGCATAGTCTGCCACATAGAGAATGTGGTTAGGCTTATGGACTGTATAGCACTGTAGCGAAGTGGGTATCCTCAGGCCAGCTGTTACCAGCCCCCA